AGAAGCAGTGTAATTTCTGTGTACTGTGATAGTTTGCTAATGCCATGAAGGGAAGAATATGCTGCCGCGGACATAAGCATATAGTTATGGGGAGAATTAGGCAGAACTACTTTAGATGGTTTGGCTAATAAATGGGTAGGAGAAGTTGTCAGAAGAAAACTATGGGAGACATAAGGTTGTACCAGGCAGAAGGGACTGAAGAGAGGTTCCTAGGACTGGTTGTCTAGGTGGGCATAGCACTGTGGACAAAGGTCCTCACTAAGGAAGAAAGCTGGTGCAGGGAAGACAGGACATGGTGAGAGGAGCTTGCTCTGCTGCTGGAGGTCAGGGGATGCTCATGAAGCCCAGATAAAGAGCTTGTATTTCCTCCTAAATACAATAGAAAAAGGCAAGAGCATGTTTATGAACCTTGGAAGTACCTGGATAGTGTTTTTAGAGGATGACTCTGCCCTCTATTTGGGAGAATAAAAGAATAACTGGGGAAGCAGAGAATCTAACAGGAGCTAAAACTACGAGAAAACCTAGACATTTTTTTAAAATATATTGTCAGTGCATTACTATCAAAGGGAAAAAACAAAGAAGTTACAGCATTTCCCCAGTGATTTGTTGGGGAAATCTTAGAGTTCCAGTCAGAAAAATAGTAAATTGGGGTTTTGGTTTAGTTTGGTGTTAGTTGGTTGATTTTTTACTGTTTTGAAGACAGGGTTTCTCTGTGTGGCTTTGGCTGTCCTGAAACTCACTTTGTAGACTTTGTTCAGGCTGGCCTTGAACTCAGGGACCTGCCTGTATCTCTGCCTCCCAAGGGCTGGGATTACAGGCATGACCCACCACACTACCCAACTTAAAATATCTTTTTCTTTTTTAATTAATTTATTTTTACATGCCTGCATATGTCTGTGTGAGGGTATCAGATGCCCTGGAACTGGAGTTAAAGACAGTTGTGAACGATACCTGAGCGTTGGGAATTGAACCCAGGTCCTCTGGAAGATCAATCTGCTGAGCTATCTCTCCTGCTATCTTTTTTCTTTTCCTTTTTTTTTCTTTTGACTTTTTCTTTTTTTTCTTCACATCTTTTGAATAATGTAAAGCAAGAAAAATATCATGATGCTATTTGCAGTTCCAGGTAATAATGATTGAGCCACAGAAACGGATATAACTACTGCAGTAAGAAATGAGTTTTATGATTTAAACCATCTTGAATTTGTATCCTTGAAAATGTGCTCTTGCCGGGCGGTGGTGGCGCACGCCTTTAATCCCAGCACTTGGGAGGCAGAGGCAGGCGGATTTCTGAGTTCGAGACCAGCCTGGTCTACAGAGTGAGTTCCAGGACAGCCAGGGCTACACAGAGAAACCCTGTCTCAAAAAACCAAAAAAAAAAAAAAAAAAAAAGAAAGAAAGAAAATGAGCTCTTTCTGAGGCTGTCCACTCTTTTATCTTGTACAATTGCTTATTCACTTAGGAAATTATGTGTTTCTTTTGTTTTTTGTTTTTGAGGCAGGATCTCACTGTGAAGCTCCTATTGGCCTGTCCTAGAACTGGCTATGTACACCAGGCTGGCATGGAACTCACAGAGATCCCTCTGCCTCCCAGTGCTAGAACTAAAGCTGTGGACCACCACACTGGACAGGAATAGTTTTTTGGGTTTTGTTTTGTTTTTTTGTTTGTCAGAGTCTCACCATGTAGCTCTAGCTGTCCTAAAACTTGATATTCAGACAAGGCTGGTCTCAAACTCATGAGATCTGCCTGCCTCTGCCTCCCAAGTGCTGAAACTAAAGACGTGTACCACCAGACCCAGCAAAAATAGTTTTAATGTACCTAGTTATGGTGGCTTATGCCTATAATCCCAGCATTGTAGGGGCAGGAGATCTGTTATGAGTTTGAGGATAGCTGGATTACATTGTGAGTTCCAGCCTTGCCTGAGCTACAGAGTTTGAAATCCTGTTCCAAAAAAAAGTGAAAGACTGGGGCTGGAGAGATGCATCAATAATAAAAAGCAATGGTTATTCTCCCAGAGGACTCAGCTTTGATCCCCAGCACCCACATTGTGTCTCACAACCATATATAACTCCAGTTCCAGGTTATCCAACACCTTCTGGTCTCCTCAAGCAACAGACATGCATGTGATTCAGAGGCATACATGCAAGCAAAGCATCTATACTCATAGAATAATTTTTTAAAGTTTTTTTAGTGAAAAAAGTGCTGACAAGATACTCATTCAGCAGGCAAAGGTATTTGCCACCAAGCCTAATGACCTGAGTTTGACCCCTGGTATCCATATTGTAAAAGAGAAAACCAACCCCTGCGAATTGTTGATCCTCATGCACTGTGCACTGCCATGTGCATGTAAACACATACAAGCAAAATGTAATACTTTTTAAACTTAAAAAAATCAAGGATTCTTGTTTGCTGTTGGTTTGTCTTTAGACAAAGTCTCACCATTTAATCCTGACAGGCCTTGAACTAAGAGAGATCTTCCTGCCTCTGCCTCCCCAGTGCTGAAATTAAAAGCATGTGCCACCCTACTTAGCTTTTTTCTTTTTTTAAAGAAGAAGGCATTGAGTTCCAGAGCTTGAGCTGCCTGCTATGGGTACTGGGGACTGAACTCAAGAAGAACACAAAGTATTCAACCTATGAGCCATTTCTCCAGCCTCTTTTTTTTTTCCAGATTTTATTTGATATGTAGAGTGTTTTACCTGATGATTCTTCTTCTTATCTCTTGGAATATTGGAAGGGGGGTGCTGTTTTGTTTTTTGTTTTGGTTTTGGTTTTTTTTTTTTTTTTTGGTTTTGACAGGATCTCTCATAGTCCTGGCTGGTCTTGAACTTCCTTTGTAGATCAGACTGACCTCAAACATACCTATCTGCCTCTGCCTCCCAAGGGCTGGGATTAAAGGTGTACTTCATCATGCCTGACAGGAATACTTGCTCCAGTCCAATTGCTGTCGTGTGAGGAAAAATCCAAACACCTCCAGAAAGCCTGTATGGAGAGGAACTGACACCTTTCCCCAAGCCACTACCCCCACCCACCGAATTCCTCACCAACTCCCAGCCACTATCCACCACTAAATTGCCACCCACTTGAGCTCTGTGAGAAGCATCTCAAGCTCCATTGCAACCAAATGGTAAAAAGACCTTGTCCTTGCCAAGACCATCCCCAAATGCAGATTAATAAGTAAATAAAATGTTTTAGTTCACTAGGTTTCTTGGGAGAGGAGGGGTTGTAAATAGCAATAGGTAACTAGTAGAGACAAAAATTTCATTCCTTTTCTCCTTGGATCCATGATTTAGAATCAGCAGGCAGTTCATGTATGTACTCAGAAGTAAATGGGATATAGAAAAAGGGCCTAAAAGGCTCTTAGCTGTCTGCTCTGAGCTGTCTGACCAATGCTCAATGGAACAATTTTTAGATGCTTGTCCTAGTTTGCTTATCAAAACACTGAACAAAACCAATTTGGGAAAAGAAAGGGTTTATTTTGTTTCCACATCTATGCAACAGTCCATCACTGAGAGAAGTTGGGATAAGAACCTAGAGGCAGGAACTGAAGTAGATAAAGAAATGCTGTTTACTGGCTTGTTCTCCGGTAGCTTGCTGAGCTTCCTTATATAGATCCTACACCTCCCCAGATGTGGCACCACCCACAGAGGGCTGGGCCTTCCTGCACCAATCATTAAAATAATCCACATTCAAACCCAGGAGGTAATGGCACATGGCCTTTAATGTACGCACTTAGAAGGCAGAGGCAGGTAAGTCTCTGAGTTCAAGGCCAGCTTGATCTACAGAGTGATTTCCAGGACAGCCAGGGCAACACAGAGAAACCCTGTCTTAAAAAAAGACATACAGACACGTAAGCAAAATCAACTGAGTTCCCTTCTTTCCAGGTCACTCAGGTCAAGTTGACAAAAAAACAGCCACACACTTGTCTTCACTTGACACTGACCACAATACTCTGATCTTCCAGTGTCTTTGAAATCATCTTGTTTCCAGATGCTGTTAAGATCCATGGACACACATTTTATGTCCATTCCACAATGTCTGATTCAGATTGGCCACTTAACCCTAATTCATACCATAAATTTTCTAGTTATGTACTACATACACAATTGGCTAAAAGGTATCAGACCACCAAAGAGGCATACCTAAAAAAAAAAGAAAAAAAAAAAAAGGTGGGGAAATCAATCCCAGGAAACCTCTCTTCATGCTGTGGCAGTTTTAGAAGGGACTTTCCCTGAAGCAGTTATTCAGTATCTGATTACATCGCTCTCAGTGGCTGTCAACTTTTTTGTGCTGCGTAATTATCCAAGAAACCATTTACTGCCTAATAATTGTTTACGGTTTGGGGAGGTTTATTGCCAGTAAGCTGGCAGCAAACTCACTAGGTAGCTGAGCCTTGAACCTCCACCTTCCCAATGCTGGGACTACAGACTCATGCCACCACGCCCTGCTCTTGCTCTTGATTTGAAGATTACAAATTAAGTTACAAGTTATCGACTTAATGCCGTGCGTGGAACCTTCCATATTTCCAAGAAGCAACTTTCTGGTAAATTAGACGTCTGCATTATCTAGGGCAAAATATGAGGCTGCTTTCGAGCAATTTGGCCATCTCCAGCGCTCTTAAAACACGGCTTCAACTACCTAATCTTTACAATTCCTAAACTGCAAGTGAAGAAACTGAGGCTCTTGGCTCCCATTCTTTCATCCAGAAAAAAGAGTCGACAGACTGCCACCATTTTTTGCAGTCTTCTGCATGAGACCCGGGAACCTGAGGCTGTGATTGGCTGCTGGAGCCGCGGGTAACCATGGTGACGGGAGGCGGGGCTGTGAGCACCGCCTGCCCTAACACACTGGCGGGGTGGCCCCGCGAGAGGCCGGCGGGCGCTGGGCCCAGCCAGGAGCCGCAGCCCCGGCCTCGCGCGATCGTCGGGCGGGGCGCGGGTGCGGCCTTCTGCGGGCCCTTGATGCGGTTGAGGCCGCTCGGGCCAGAGAGAAGCCCGGCCGGGCGGCGGGCGCGGTAGGAGGCGGCGGGGCCGCGGGCCCGGGCCGGTGACTGCAGCGCCCCTACGATGGACGCCCTAGAAGAAGAGAGCTTCGCACTGTCCTTGTAAGTGACGCGGCCAGGGTCTGCTCAACCTCGGCCTGCCGGTGTCCCCCGGGGCCGGGCGCGGGCTGGCCGGTCGGAGCTTCGCTCTAGCAGGGCATTTTCTTCCCGCGGCCACCGCGGGCATATGTCACCGATTACCAGCGCTTCCATCACAATCCTCTGGCCTCAATCGTGGCCGTCAGCAAAACCTAGAGGCCTTGAGCTGCCCAGGCTGGCGGCGGCCTCACCACCTGTCTCAAGCCACTCCTAGGCCGGTGTTCCTCCCCCGTGTGGTCACACTCACCAGCAGATAGGTGTGGCGTTAAGAGCCAGGATGCGGTGAGTAAATCCCGCGGGTAATAAACGCGGAAGTCTGAAGATGTGCCACACCAGCCTGAGCTACCCAAATTATTTGCTTCTTTTGTGATTGCCATACCGGTTTTCGTCACGGGTGTTTTCCTGTGTTTGTAATTTCTATACTAGATAGTAATCCTTGATTGGTGAAACTGAGTGATGGGAGGATCATCTTGCCATTATTATTTTTATGTATTATTTATTTTTTTTATTTTGGGGGGCTTTGTTTTGATTGCCTGGTGTGTGCGAAGCCTTGGGTTCCATCCCCTTATCCGCAGAAAACACAAGTTCAGCTCGTGAAATAATTATTTGGACTAGCACCTAATCCTGATGTGTTTTTCAGCTCCTCTGCCTCTGACGCAGAATTTGATGCTGTGGTTGGATGTTTAGAGGACATTATTATGGGTAAGTTTCAACACCCCTAAGTGACCTGTGCCCCTCTAGTTCCTTTGTTCGGTTCCTTGATTTAAATCAAGTAGACCCTTGCTTTAAAACATTTTTTTTAAAAGATTTATTTATTTTATGTATGAGTACACTGTGTATATGAGTACATGCATACTCAGGCACACCAGAAGAGGGCATCGGATCCCATAACAGATGGTTGTAAGCCTCCATGTGGTTGCTGGGAATTGAACTCAGGACCTCTGGAAGAGCAGTCAGTGCTCTTAACCACTGAGCTATCTCTCCAGCCCAAAACAATTTTTTAAAAATGTATTCATTTCCATGTGTGATGGATTGTGGGTGGGGTTGTTTCCAGGACACCATGGATACATGGAGGTCAGAGGACACCTTTGTGGAGTCTCTCCTTCCACCTTTATGTGAGTTCTGAGAGTTGATCTCGAATTATCTGTGCCTTCAGCCCCCAAGCCATCTCAGCATCCCAAACCTCTGTGTATAAGGGCGTGCAGAGAAGTAAACACTGACATTTTAAACACGCAGCACAATGTTAATAGCAAGCAAGCCATACTGAGCTTTGTAGTCTTAGAAACAATCTGTGGGTCAGCAAGATGGCTCAGTAGGTAGAGCCACTCACCAGGAAGCCTGACAACCTTAGATTAATTAATCCCCAGGATCCACAAGGTAGTACTGGCTCCTAAAAGTTGTCCTCAGACTTCCATATACAGGCTGTAGCATTCATGCACCCACTCAAAAACAAAATAAGTAAAAATATAATTTAAAAAAGACCTGGTTTCAGATGATACTGACCAATGTACTTCACATATACAGTAAGAACAATCTTGGTTTTTATATCATTTTGAGCTTTAACATTTTCATGCTATAGGACAGAACATAAATCATACCCCTATATAGCACTTGTCCATGTAGGAACAAGGTGTCGAATCTCATTGGATCTCTTCATATTCTTTTGTTGTTGTTTGTCTCAGTCAGGGTTTGTATTCCTGCCCAAAACATCATGACCAAGAAGCAAGTTGGGGAGGAAAGGGTTTATTCAGCTTACACTTCCACATTGCTGTTCATCACCAAAGGAAGTCAGGACAGGAACTCACTCACACAGGGCAGGAACTTGGAGGCAGGAGCTGATGCAGAGACCATGGAGAGGTGCTGCTTACTAGATTTCATCCCCTGGCTTGCTCAGGTTGCTTTCTTAGAGAACCCAGGACTACCAGCCCAGGGATGGCACCACCCACAATGAGCTGGGCCTCTCCCCCAACCCCCCATGATCACTGATTGAGAAAATACAGCTGGATTTCATGAAGGCATTTCCTCAAGGGAGGCTCCTTTTTCTATAATAACTCCAGCTTGTGTCAAGTTGACACACAAAACCAGCCAGTAAAATGATAATTAGTTTTTGGGTTGTTTTTGGTATTGTTGTTTTTTGAGACAGGGTTTCTCTGTGTAGCCCTGGCTGTCCTGGAACTTTCTGTAGACCAGGCTGGCCTCAAACTCACAGATCTATTCTCCTGGAATGGATGGACCACTATGTACGGCTTGGATCAACTGGATCACGTGGATCCATTTCCTTCCTCCCTGATGACTCTAGCTTGTGTCAAGCTGACACACAAAATCAGCAATACACTTTATATTCTTGGTGTGCCTTGTTGGTTGGTTCAGTGTTGAGAGTTTGTTTTTAGGGTCTAATGTCCAGGCCAGCCCTGATCTTCCTGTCTTATTGCCTCAGGCTTCCAAGCACTAGGATCGCAAGCATGAGCTACCGTACCTTCCTGTTTCCTTGTATTCTTAGTTCCTATTTCCAGATCCTTTTGGGGATCTTTCCATTCTGCTAAGTGGCCAGCAGGCAGAAATAAATCCAAAGTTGAAGACAGAAAGAAAAAAAAAAAAACTAAATTTGACAGCTTGTCAGCTTCCCTAGCAATTAGAAAAAGACCCTGTTGTTTGGTTTGGGGTATGTGGCTTAACCCAGGTTAGTCTGAAAATTCACCTTCACATGCAGTCTGGATCCAAGCCCACGGCTCCTATGTCTCACCAGAAGCCCTCTCCTGAGGAGTTCTCAGTTGGTTTTGCCCACCATGGATATCCCACCTGTTGTAGAGAAATGAGCTTAACTCTGGGTCCCTTTTTAAAGACTTCCTTTTAGTTGTAGACATGCTAGTTGACCCAGAATTGTTAAAATTCCATACTTCTTGACCTTGAGTGTTTGCTGTGAATCTCTACCTGAACTCTCCTCTGAATTCACCTGACAAGCTTTGAATTCACTTTGGCAGACACAACAGTCATCTTTATGCTCCAGATGAGGAGACTGGGGTCTACAGAAATAAAGTCACTTGTCCAAGATTATACAAAGTATATGGCTAAGGTAGGGTTTGAACCCAGGCAATCTGGTCTCTTACAGACCCCACCCTTTAACCCACTATGTGGTTTTCACTACTGCTGCTAAAATGATATTAAAATAGGGGAGACGGGCACAGCAAGATGGCTCATAAGCCTGAAGGCCAACTATAATCTGTAAGACCCACATGGTAGAGGGAGAGAGTCCACACCCATCCTCTGGATGGGTACCATAGCACATGCGCTAATTCCAACATACAGGAGGATCTCTGTGAGTTCCCAGCTAGCCTGGAATTACACATAGCAAGTTTCAAGCCAGTCAGTTACACAGTGAGATGCTGTCTCAAAATAAATATGTAGTTTAAAAATAAGAATGGCCAATAAGATGGTTCAGTGGCTAAAGTACTTGCTGCCAAGCCTGATGACCTGAGTTCAATTCCCAAGACCCTTGTATGTGGACAGTAGAAGGAAAGACTCTCCTACAGGTTTTCCTCTGACCTTCTACCCGCATGCCATGGCAAGCAGGTGCACATATACACATAAAAATGAGTAAAAGAAAATGTAATTTAAAAGGAAAAACCTTTAAGTAGGAAAGAAGGGCCTCTTGCCTGTTTGAAATCTCCCAATTTGAGAACTGACCTTTTATATACACAGTCAATGTATATGATAAAGAGACATACCAGATAGTTCTTCCTAGGCGGCAAATAGTGTGTCAGGGTTCACAAGGCATCTTATTTGGATAGATTATGTGCCGCTCCTCCCCCGAACCCCCCCCCCCCCGGTGTGTGTGTGTGTGTGTGTGTGTGTGTGTGTTTCATTTGTTTTTTGCCTTTTTGTTTCTTCAGTTTTGTTTGAAACAAGGTTTCTCTATATAGCCCTGTCTACCCTGGTTTTTGCTCTGTAGACCAGACTGGCTTCATAGTTAGGTCCGCCTGCCTCTGCCTCCTGAGTGCCGGGTTAAAGCTGTGCACCACCACTACCTGCTGTGGTGGGCAGCTGCGACCCCAGCACTCAGAGTCGGAAGGATGGCCTACAAGTCCAGGGCCAGCCTGGTCTACAGAGTGAATTCCAGGTCAGCCGAGCATATGTATTTATGGAGAGCTTATCCCAAAAGCTAAAAATAAAACAGTTGCAAAGACTTGTAAGCCAGCAAAGTGTTTATTTTGAAAGGTTGACATTTTAAATTTTAGATATATTTTACTAAAATTTAAATTTTACTAAATTGTATCAGATGACGAGTTCCAGTTATTGCAGAGAAACTTCATGGACAAGTACTACCAGGAATTTGAAGACACGGAAGAGAATAAACTCACCTATACTCCCATTTTTAATGAATATGTAAGTAGATATTTCTCCTACCAGAAAAATTAGGGTTTCCTTAAAATCTGAACTTAGCTCCATTATGTATAATTAATATATACTATTAAAAAGTTTAAATTAGCCGGGCAGTAGTGGCGCACACCTTTAATCCCAGCACTTGGGAGGCAGAGGCAGGTGGATTTCTGAGTTCGAGGCCAGCCTGGTCTACAGAGTGAGTTCCAGGACAGCCAGGGCTACACAGAGAAACCCTGTCTCGAAAAACCAAAAAAAAAAAAAAAGAATCAAAAAATGTTACAAAGCATGGTAGCACCTGTAGCCACCTGCCACTAGCACTCAAGAGGCAGAGGCAGGAGGATGGCAGCAAGTTGGATGCCTCCCTGGGCCACCTAGTAAATTTCAAGTCATCTTAGGTTGTTCAGCAAGATTATTTTTTTAAAGAAACAAAACAAAAAAAAAAAACAAGTTGGAATTAGTTTACTTTTTATATATGCCAGCCCTGCCAGGGGAATGCTGATTGGAATCTGGTTTAGATCATTTTTCTCTTGCCAGATTCTGGAGCTATTTTCTAAAAGATTTTCGTGAAGTGGTTGGTGAGCTTGCACCTTCTGGTTTAAAACAAGTTTGCCTTTACCATAATCTTGTCCTCAGCTGTGATACAACAGTGCCAACAAGACGGCCAGTAGGTAAAACATAAAAGACGGAGGGAGAGCACAGGTCCATAGGAGCTGTCCTTTGATGCCCACACGCACACTCACAAGCATCATGTACACAGTAATGATAAGTAAAGTACACAGGGCTGGACAGACAGCTCCCCAGAACTGCAGAGCGCCTCAGCACCGACATCCAGTGGCTATAACTCTAGTTCCAGAGGATCCAACACCCTCTTCTGGCCTCTGCAGCCATCTGCACTCATGGTAAATGTGCAGGCATGTGCATGCACACACATACACACGCACACGAACACGCACGCACCCACCCACCCACAGGATCTCAGGTAATGACCCGAGGGCCTACACCTCCCTGTCTCCACTGCTGCAGATTTCCCTGGTGGAGAAGTACATTGAAGAGCAGTTGCTGGAGCGTATCCCAGGCTTCAACATGGCGGCCTTCACAACCACACTGCAGTGAGTTGAGTTTGACTCTGGTTCTGGGCTTCTCACTTTCCTCCCCTCGACTGAGGAAAGCCCACTCTCTCCTTGTCTTCACTGAGAACTGGCTGGGTCCTGAGTAGAGTGGTGGGCCCTCTGTACCTTTGCAAGGCTGTTTTTTAAAGGAGATTTTTAAATGTATGTGTATGTGCATGAGCCTGCATGAGTTTCTGTGTACCACGTGCATGCAGGAGCCTCCAGAGGCCAGAAGAGGGTTTTAGACCCTCTAGAACTGAGTTACAGGCAATTGTGAGTATCCACATGCACACTGGAAATAAGCCTGAGTCCTCTGCAGGAGCAGCAGTGAACCCTCTGAACCCTCTCTCCAACCACTTTTTTTTTTTTGGGCGGGGGGGACAGGGTCTCTTATAGACAAGGCTGGTCACACGCCTGATCCTTCTGCCTCCACCTCCTAGGTGCTGATAGACGTGCCCCACCATGCCTAACTTGTGCGTCTTGAAGGGAGTCTGTCTCCCTGTTCATTCACAAAGCCCACACTCTGTCTCTTGCAGGCACCATAAAGATGAAGTGGCTGGGGACATCTTTGACATGTTGCTCACATTCACGGATTTTCTGGCTTTCAAGGAGATGTTCCTGGACTACAGAGCAGTAAGTTATGGCGGCTCGCCTCCTTAGCCTCAAGGAGCCACACAGGGCAGAGCTATGGAGACAACCACCTGCCCTGTGTCCTCTATCTTTTGTCGTCCCCCCCCCAACCTCCCCTTAAAATGGTTAGTGTTAGTGTGGTGGCTTTTGAGGTGTGCCCTTGTGACAAGGACCTTTCTGTTTTGATGAAACTAGCTCAAGGCTTCCAACAAAGACGTCACTTTTCATGCAGGCTCCTTTCACAGACTAAGGAGCTGCTTCACTTGCTTACTTATGTATGCATTTATTGAGACTGAATCTTACTATATAGCCTTGAATTTGCTATGCTGACCAACCTGGCCTTAAACTCAGACATCCTCCTGCTTCAACTGCCTGAGAACCTGGGTTAAAGCATGGCACCATGCCCATTCCCAGTTAGTCGTATTTTTTAAGTTTAATAATAATAAAATGTTTTATGTGTATAAGTGTCTGCCTGCATGTATGTCTGTGCACCATATACATGTATGTCTGTGCCCATGGAGGCCAAAAGATGAGGTAGGATCCCCTGGGACTGAAGTTATAGAGGCGGTTGTGTGCTATGGTGGGAATCAAACCCAGGTCCCCTGGAAGAGCAGTCAGTGCTTTTAACCACCAAGCCATTTCTCAGGCTCCAAGAAAGTCTTTTTTTTAAGAGTGTCTAGGGCCATAGCTGAGAAAAAGGAAATAGCCTACTGCCTTGTCTCTCTCTGTATGCTCCTTGGGAGCTCACAGACCTCCCTGCTATCGCCACAGTTCCCCAATTCCAGAGGGTCCTGAGTCACGAGAGCTTCCCCCCACTCATGGTGTCTTGAGGTCCTCTGCTTTCTCCTGTAGGAAAAGGAAGGCCGAGGACTGGACTTAAGCAGCGGCTTGGTCGTGACTTCTCTGTGTAAGTCATCTTCTACGCCAGCTTCCCAGAACAACCTGCGGCACTAGGTCCCACCTTCACACAACAGGTGTGATCGGTATGAAGTCACCAGCCCAGCAGGCTCAGAGAAATGGGCTAATGACGACAGATGCATCCTGCAAAGACCCACTGTGCCACAGCCCTTCCTTCATGTGAAGTATTGATGAGTCCTGGAAAACATGACTGACCCTCCTGGCCTTCTCCAGAAGCTCCTTCCTGCAGTCAGTAGCCCTCATATTCCTCGCTCCCATCCCCATACAGATCCCTCTCCCAGATGCTTCTGAGTGGCTCTTCTGGAGCAGGCCCGGGTTGGCCACCTCACCTTGGAGGTGAGGGGCTCTCTTCCCCAGCAACATGGTAGTGTAGTGTGTCAACAGTGTGAACACCACATCATTGTAAGCCCTTCATCCCGCAGGCTTTAGTGAGTCTTTGTTCTCCTACAGTTTTCACCTGGGTCCGGTTCAGGTGTCAGCCTCAATGGGGCTTTTGTTTGGGTGTGTTGATCTAGAGAGTTACAGACCAGCTGCCTGTCCTGGTTTCTGAATCTCCTGTGATTACAGCTTGACTGCTGTAGGATCCACTGAGAGAGCTGTCCTCTCCCCACAAGGGAAAATGGACTCCTTACATTAGCACTCCTTTCACCAGCGACTCCTGCTGGTCGTGATGTAGCCCCCCTGTTCTCTACTCTCTAAACATTATTTTCAAGAAACATATTTTTATAGATGAAAACTCAGGCTAACCTAGTGAGTATGATCTCGGGATGCCCATGATCAACCACTGACAAGATCAAAGTATTATATGCTGTGTGCTTTTTAGTTGTGAGTGCTGGAGTGCAGATCTGCTTTCCCATTGGTGCCCCCTTGCTGGGCACCAGTACAAACAGGCTGTGTGCTAGAAATGGGGCATAGCTGTGTCGTGACAGCATGCTAGGTGTGCTTGTGCATGTGTGTCTGCTGTCCTATCACAACAGAGTGCTTGGTGTGCTTGTGCATGCTTGTGTGCAGTCCTTCGTGTAGGCCAGTGAGCTGGGTTTTTTATTGGGGGTGGGGGGAGACTCTGCTGTTTGTTTTCGTACAATCTCTCCTGCTAAGTTGATGCTCGACCTGGGGAGAGGGACAGGACACAGGTTTTCTGGTCATCTGTCATCTTTGGTGGACTGCCACCAACCAGGAAGCATGTGTGTCACATCTCTAGAAAGAAAACAGTTCAAATCCTAATGTATACTTTTGACTTTAACTTTTATAGTAAACGTAAGACTCCACGCCGACTTTTCATGTGACATTCTGACTTTAAAGGATATAAGCTAAGCTCTGTGTTTTTTCTGTAGCTGTGTGTCACTTGGTACTTTTGTAAAATAAGTAAAATTTGAGGTGTTTGGCAAAAATAATCACTTGACGTGTATTGTCCATTTTAATGTAACTACTGCCATCCGGCCATTGTTGCTTTGGTCTTTTGAGATCAAAGGCTGTCTTGGAGCCAGCTCTGTCAATGTCACCCCTCCAGTGACCTTCCCCTTCCTGCCCCTCCTATAATCAGGACTGCTCACTGCAGGCAGATGCTGAAAGCACTCAGTAAGGTTTGCTGCTTAGCCTACCTGGTTGGGGGGTGGGGGACAAATACAGAGATGAAATATGGGCAGGGGCGAAGGGGCTGGAGAGATGCTCAGAGGTTAAGAGCACTTTCTACTCTTGCAGAGGACCCTGGGTTAGTCACAGCACTCACGTGGCAGCTCACACTAACTCCAGCTTCAGGGCATCCAACGCTCTCTTCTGGCCTCCTCTGGCACTCATATAGTGCAAATACATACATGTAGGAAAACACTGCATATACATGAAATGAAATAAAAATAATAAATCTTTTTTTTTAAAAAAAAAAAAACCTTGAAGGCAGGCAGACTGCAAGATTAATATTCTATGTAACGTGCGGATTCTGTGTGCTGGTCCACAGACTTGGACAGATGCCTTCTATTCCCTTACCTGAGCAGCAGAACCTAGAATGCCTTCCCTAAACAGGCATTCTGAGATGATATGACATTATGTTAGATCCCTGACGTGTCTGTGGGAGTTCTGGCTTGCTAGGATTCCGCTTCCCTCTATGCCTCAAAACGGGGTACTCCTCCTTAAACCCACGCTTTCCTTGGGACTTCATCCTGGAACAGGGAGACTTCATTACCTAACCTCCAAAGTGAATAATTACAGTAACCAAGTCAACAAGTGTGAGTTGGGACCAAGAGCTAAACCTTGATCCCCTCCCTCTAACAGTATCAAAACCCCAAGTGTCTGGTTCTAATTCCATCTTTCTTGTTGCCATCTTCTTAAAGGACTAAAAAGTAAAATGTAAGCAAACATCTAAGACCAGGAATGAAAACACCTTTCCAAACAGACACTTCCATTTTTATTTAGATTGTAAAAATAAGAGTTCCAAACAAGAGTCACCATTAACCCCATGACAACTCACCAGGCCAGGCCCTGCTTCCTTCTCTCCCTCCTTGGAAGTCCCCTGGGCCTAATCAGCAGCCTAGGGGAAGCACCCTGCACTTTCCCAAAGGGAGAGTCACTCTGGAGGGAGGGGGCATGGCGAGACTTGCCGCCATTGGAAACTGTTGAAACCAACTGAAATAGTCCAGTCCTTGAAATCCCAACTCTTCCTATAAAAGTCTCTCTACAGGTGACAGGTTGGCTTGGGGTAGGGGAGGGGAAGGTGGGACCCGAAGAGCCTGGGGGCTTGCTTAGCTTCTGGAACATAGATAATCTGTCATTTTTGTTAGGTTTTGACTACAGCAGGTCAGAGGCTGAAGTTCTGTTAGTGGTTTTAGTGCTGGTGAGCAGGGTGGTCCAGCCTGGGGTACTGAAGTTCTCTGATGACAAGGCAGAGCCATAAGAGCACCCCCCCACCCCATCACCTTCTGTTGAACAAGGGAGGTGGGGAGGATCTCCCCACTCCTGGCACTTGGCAGCCCATCTGTGCCAGCTTGCACCTGTTCCTCAGGAGTGCTGGAGACCTTGAGTCCGGTAAGATTGAGGGGGTGACTCTGTGCTAAGACCCAACTGTGGCTTAGGCCACAGCATAGCTGGCTTAAGAGTAGCCCCCAGCCATCTGACTCGTGGCCGCGTTGCTGCCCACTCCTCGCCAGGCCTGGAAGCTGAAGAAAGCACTCACTCCGTAGGCAATCATTACCAGACAGGCAAAGAACTGACAGGAGAGAAAAGAGGCCAAGGTGGTCAGTCAGAGAGAGCCAGGGAACCAGGTGGGGACAGTGACACCAGGGTCTCCTCAGGTAGACTTGCAGATTAAAGCTTGAGTTAATCAGAACCATTTGTTCTGGCAGCCACACCCCTTATGCCTACCCCAACACACCACTCATCTGGCATTATGTTCTCAGGGTCCTAGGCAACAGAACTACACAAGCCAGACATGTCAGACGGTGCCAGGGGCAACCATGAGTGTCCATCTGCTCTCTGGAGTGACCATGGTAACCTTATACACCTAACGGACCTAGTGGCCACAAGTAACATTCAGAGCTAGGGATACTACTCAGGTAGAGTGGTCGCCTAGCCTCACAGTGCCCTGTGATTCCAGGCCCAGAATTGAAAACAAACAAAAACAACCAGTAATAATACTCAAAGCTCCCAGGAGTTTTCTGAACCAGTTTGTACTCTGCGACATGTGCTTTCAGAGACTTAGGTCTCAGTTCCCAAGAGGGAGTTCACTAATTTTAAACCACATTCACCAGGAAGACGGAAGACACCATACATGGGCTGCCCTGTCCTGGACATGAGCAAAACTCCAGTTTCCTTGTCTGAAAAAGAACCTATAGGCTCTGCCTTTAGACGTGAACGGCCATTTGACACAGCCCAAGTTCAAGCTTTTTATAAGAGAATACAAGTAAAAAAAAGAAAGGTAGATGGAACGTCTGGTGGTTGACAGCCAGCCCATGTGACATGTGACAAGAGTGTCCACGGTGGATCCCAAGCCTTCGGGTTCCCTTGAGTTCTGATGTTCACTAATGAAGATTGAGGCTCACTGAGCATCCAGCCAGTGACTAGTCAGACAGGAGCCTGTGAGTTCACAGAGGCCTGGGCTGGATCCCCTGCCGAAGGCCGGCGGAGCCCGGGAAACATACTTACAGAGGCCGCTGAGCGCTGGTTATACGGCCGGGAGCCCCTTAGCGATGTCAGGTCGACTGCTGCCGCGCAGGCGATAAAGGCAGTAATGTAGAGAACCGTGGCAGCGACAAAAAAGATCAGTAACTGTAGGGGAAAGGGAGAGAAGGCGTAAAACATCCACGGGGAACGTCACCACCTTGAAGCTGAGTCAGAAAGCCCTGGCGGGAAGCCCTGAAGTGTCGGGGCAGGACACTGCCACCACAACAAGCCACTTAGCTCTAACCAGCTAGAGAAATGCAGGCCACTTCCTGTGTGGCACACGCCGTGCCCATGCTCTCCCTATGATCGCATCAGCACTTAGCCTCGTCTTGGCCCTTACATCCCTCTGCCCGCCACTGGGAGAAATCTATGACTCCCTTACGCTATCCTAAACTCCTGTAATCCTAGTATCTCAAGAGGCAGGGGCAGGAGGACCACAAATCGGAGGCCAACCAGGTGTATATAGTGAGATACTGTCTCAAAACAAGATGGGTGATGGTAGCTTACACCTTTGATGCCAGCCCACAGGAGGCAGAGGCAGGCCGATCTCTTGAGTTTGAAGCCAGCCTGGATTTATGAGTTCCAAGACAGCCAGGACTACAGAAAAAACCTAGCTCAAAACAAAACACCCCCAAAGCTGAGCAAAATAGCTTACAGGAACCAATACGTCCAGACACAAAGGCAGGAAGACCATGGATTCCAGGTCAGTCTGGCCTACACATCAAAACTGTATCAAAAAACAAACCAAAACAGTAACCTCAGGGCTGAGCATGTATCTCAGTGGTAGAGCATTTGTTCTGCATTTATGAGGTCCTGGATTTGATCCCTAGCACTGTCAGTACAACAAACAAAAACCTCAAGGCTTGGCACCAAAGAGCCACATCCTCTCAAGGTTGAAGCTTGGCAGAGGCAGCTCCTCAGGGCCAGGTACTTGTTAGGTTTCTGGAACCTTCCTGGCCCAGTTCACTAATCCATCTCACCTGGCCCTTTCAAAGGTTGGCAGTCTCCAACCCAGAGTTGAGAAGTGTCATCACCCAGCTCTTCCCCCAGCTCAGCCTAGCAGCACCAGACACAGCCCCCAGCTGGCCTCCTTCATTGAGCACTGTGCTGGAATGCCATCCTTGCCTCAGGGACAGATGTCTCCAGCCTTGCAGAATTCTTCTTTAGGGCCTCAGGAATATTCAGAAGGGAGATAGACCCTCAGCCAGGAGTCCAGCCTCTGCCACCTCAATCCCAAATCTTGTCCCCAAGTACAGTGACCACTGCATACCCTGCCTGGCTCTGGCTAGTGATACAAGGATCTAACAAACCCATTCTGTCTCAGCATGACTCACGTTTCCTCTCATTAAACAGGCATTGAATTGTAAACAATTGCTGCCTAGTTCCAGCCTTACAATCATGTGCCTCTGTGCTCACTAAAAGGCTCAGACCCAGCTGCATGGGTCTTCTGGATTCCAAAAAAACCCCAGCCAGAGGAGTGTGGTCTGAAACAAACCTGGGGCACCCGTTCTTTCCAGAACCACAGGGTCTCCTGGAGGTAGCTGGTATCCATGCTAGGCCCCGGCTTACACTCACAAACCCAGACCTCCTGGCTCAATAGTGTGACCACCCTCACAAAAGAACAATATCCTATGATTCCCAAGGATCTCTGCAGATCCAGTCAACAGCCTCTCACTGCTGGTCTCTTCCCAGGACCAAATCAAACATCCCATCCCATTATTAACATACCTTTCCATCGAAGCTCTTCCGGTACCTGAGAGGCAGGAGGCTACCCACCCACCTCCCATCATTTATGGAAGGTCCCGTTGTAGTCATTCACAGACAAGAGGGCTCAGCCTGGAGCCACACAGGGCCCCTACCCCAACTCACCACCAACGGCCAGGGCACCATGTACAACTTCACGTGCAGTTGAAACAGGTAGATGATGAAGAAGACGATTGTCACCAGCCAGAGGAAGACAGCAACAAACATGACCCAGCCATAGGCAGGATACAGATGATATGGGGTGTCAGCAATCAGAGCCCACACCAGCAGCCCCAGCACCTGTGGAAAAATAGGGGGATGTTTTTCAGAGCCACACAGCTCCAGCCGGAGGCTCAGACCTTGGCCTCCTTTCTTGTTAACTCAAAAAAAAAAAAAAAATCTTAGGCCGGCAAGATGGCTAAGAGGGTAAAATAAAATGTTTGCCACAAGCCTGACGACCTGAGTTCAATTCTGGAACTCGGGAGTAAAGAGAAAAGTG